TGGAGTTTCAAGAGAGGAGTACTGTTGAAAGCAAAAGCACTTACAGGTAATTCATTATCAGTATAATAATAACAAGATGAGAATATATCTATCTATTCTGCATAGTTAGCATGTGTTGGAAAACAGAAAGAATGGCCATTACTGTGTAAGGAACCTTGCAGCTTTCTCCTACCTTGCTGGTTTTGTTCAGCCCGTGTTGCTTCATGTATGTCTCTGCACACGGGCTGGCTAAGGAAAGCCTCCTGCAACCTGCTGGCCAGCTGCACTAATGAACTCGGACTCTGAAACGGGTTTAAGTAGGGAGGGGAAAAAAATGTCTAGGGAAGCTTGTTGAGTAGTGTAAGAAATTACTACATATTGTAACTTGTTGTACTTTGTTAACAAGTTTGGATGGGGTTTGTAGTAGGCTCCACTGGGTTATTCCACCCCTGCATTTGGGTAAAATGAAGAAGAAAGATTTTAGCAAAATTAACAAAGCTGTAGTGCGGGTGGATCCCAGTACACTCAACATAAGAGCAATCCCCTGTTCTGAGGTACAATAACTGAGTACAAAATTATGTTTAGTTTCATTCTAGTATTGCTGGGTGTACTTTTAATTCCCTGGCACTGAAATTTTAGTAACAAAAATCTGTAAATGTGTGAGTAGGTCAAGGCTTCAAGCTTTTACCATGTATCTCTTGAACTTTAGTTAGTTGCAGACCATTGCTTTCTTTTTCTACTCTTGGAATCCTTGTATCTAGGGACCGTCTTTATGTGGAGTTGATTTAGGCTTGCTTTTAGGGGAAAAAAAAGACTCTTGTTCTGCACTGACAGACTTTTTGAGCTTTTGACTTTTGTTGTCTTTGAATTCATTAAAAAACACACTTAAGAAGCAGGGTTGCTGAATTATGGTGCAAGGGCATAATTTTTGCAAGATGTGTGCATGATTAGCAATGAAATTCATATTTAGATTTAGAAATTTAAAGATCAGAGTCTTCCCAAACCACATGGCACTGAAATCTAAGGAACCATAAAAATTCTGCTCCTAGGAGTTGTATTTATTTCACCTAGCTGTAAGTAGCTAAATCATACTAGTCCTGGTTTGTTATCAAGACATCCATTGTCAATAATGGAGGAAGACAGATACCTTTGGGTAACAACTGATGATTAAAGATAGAAGAGGTGAATCATACACCATATGGCAGAAACCTCTTATGATCTTATCAAAGAAGGGAAACTTAATAAGTATAGTCCTTTAGTGGACTTTTAGCAATATACATGACTGAGAAACATCACCTTCACTTCCCATTTGATAACTTTTAATCTCTCTTCCCCATGGCCAGACACTACAGACTCTGTGGGCTTGTTGGTTCTGTACGGGTTCTGCCCCTAGGGTAAGTCATGCATGTCTCCATGCCTAGCTCCCAGTGCGTTTGGAGCCGAGTCAGTGGTCATTATTAGGCAACGGCTCCTATATCCTGTAGCCTTTCTATTGCAGGATATCACTATCTCCTTTCTTTTCGCTTCACATAAGATGCACTGTCACTGTTGTCATAGAGTTAGCCTTTGAAATAGATTTCACAGAGTCCTTACATGTCAAGATGAAGATTGCAAATTATCTTCATAAGGACATGAGTGAAGTTTTAAATATTAATGTTATAAGTTTGGTCTGAGTTGCCGGTGCATCAGAATGTTAGTGAGTTTTTGTCAGGGTCAGAATTGCCTCACTGGTAAACAAATGGAACATTTTTTGAAGTATACATTCATTTAGAAATGCTCCTGTAGAATCCTTGCTGCACTGTGAACTTCGTTCTAGCTACACTTTCCCTGTTAATTGTGTATAATGATGACTGAGAAGATAAAAGATGTGCTTATACAACTTTCTTTTCTCAAGCACGTTGAGCTTCATTTGCAGAATGATCAGGAGGCAGTTGTTGTTTGTGGATTTGTCGTCTTTGAGTTCTGCAAAAGATCCCATTGCATGATTAGAGCCAGTCAGGTGTAACCAGATAAGCACATAAAAAAAGAACTGATAAAGCTTAATTCTGAGGTGAAGTAAAGGAGCTTATATTTCACTTTTTGGGTCATGTGACTCAGAAGCAAAAAATGATACGTCAGGAAGGAAAATTATTATATCAGGCAGCAGCTTGTGTTTCCCAGATTAGACTTCTTTAGCAAAATTAGATGACATTTTCTTTCATCATTCTAATTAAACTATTTTGCCCTTTTCATTGTCTTAGGTCATTGTTGATGAATGACAGAGAAGTGCCTTGAGTGCTGCTTCCCAAATATAATTAAATTAGATGTTTTTCAGTGGAAGAGATTATACATTTGCTGAATTTAAAGCAGCTAAAACAGAAATAGGGAGTACGTATATTGAAAGTCAAACTGTGCACCTGCGTATGTTGGATTAGATGGTTTTGAATCTTTAACTGAAGCTGTTTTTAAAAAAAATTGCCCTTCATTTTCTTGAGTTCTTATGTTAAAGATTTAAGATGACCACAAAACATAAGTGACCTTTTAGATTTCTGCACAAAAAGGGACAAGACAAATAAGAATTCTGTAGTCTAACAGATAATGTACAGAATCCCAGGTCAACTATAACTAATTAGGAGTCTACTGTTGTATTGTATCTTGTTTCAGAACATTCCCACTCACTTTTGCAGTAACCTTTGTACACTGAATTAACCAGGCAGTTCACAATGATGCTGTCGGGAATATGAGCTGCCTTTTGCACAGAGGGTGTTCACTCCTGACATGGAGCAGTAATCTGAGCTAGACATGCAGGGGAAGGTGTAATTTTGCAGTGCAGACATCCTAGAGCTCACTTTGCTAATCAAACCCAAAGAATTCCCCCAGAGCTACAGTCCCTATCAGAGTTGGGTTTTATACAGTTTAGATTAAATCTTGTCCATGAAGCAAGTTTAGGAAATCATAGACTGATTACTGACAGCAGTAGGAATGCTAGGCATTAAATGTTTGCACTCTTGTGTGTTCCTGAGAAAGAGGTAACTGCTTACCACTCCCTGTAATACTATGTTCCAGGATTGTGTCCTACATTCGTAGTAATCCTTATTATAATGCAAATACACCTTTATCATGTTGCCTTATGTGTGAATTGTCTTCTATACCTTTCCCAGTGTAACATATATTATTATTCACTCTGCAGTTCTAGCAATATTCTTATAAGCTTACGCTGCATGTATGGAATTTATCATCAAATTTACTTCTGTTCCTTTCCATAGAAGACCATGCACCTATGGTTATAATTTACTTTATCGTTTAAAGCAAAGATATTCACTTGAATTTGAGTGACTTCTTATTCATTTAAGGGCTTAATAAGACAGTTTACCAACTGAATTTAAAAGGGGTTGAAACAAGCCTTCACTTATTATATGGATAATAAAGGTAGGGACATATTCCATTTAATAGACAACAGTTTGCCTGCTTGACAATTTCTTCAGAACATTATTAATAGCCTTTTCTATTTAAATAATCAAATTCCACGTCAGATGAAAGTCATTACAATGAACATTGTTTTTTTAATTCTGAACAATAGACTTGGTCTTCCACATCTTACTAATAATATCTACTTCTTCTGTGTACTTTCTGTTTTGGACTATGCCACTGGATTTGTGTTCCATGTATTGTTAATGTATGATCCATAAGTACACAGAGCATGTGAACCTCCAGACACCCTCTGTATAAACAGGTTTTTCATGAGCAGTTGAACTAACTGATTTCATTTTCATTTTTGGTATGGATTTTTGTTCTTTTTCCCTATGTATACCACCAGTGACCCCAGCTCCCTTTCCTGGCTCTATACAACTCCTCCATTGGGCCAATTAATGCACAGCTGCAACTAATGCTGATTTGCTGTTTGCTGATTTGGGTCATCTGACTTCTGTGGAAAAAAGGTGTATAACAGAATTTTGTCTGTTAGTCTCTTTTCTCAACACAACCCAGCTACAAACATTTAATGAATTCTTTGGGAACCTGTTGGGGGGACAGAGGTGAGATAAATTTTTTCTTTAAGATTTGACTAATAAAATAAAATGCTTGTCTTACGGAGTTTTTCATATGGAGTATGTTGGTCATTTAAGGAAAAAGGAAGGATATTGTAATTCATTTTATCACAATATCATTGAATATTTTGAAAAGATAGATAGTCAAAGAAAGAAAAATGGAAGTTATCTAATGTGTAAACTTCAATTAGGAAATTTGCTAGAATCAAAACTGGCATTGTCAGCCAATGACTGTAAACATTCTTTATGTTTTCCAGTAAAAGGGGCTTGCTGTTCATAGTTCACGTGAACGTGAACCTTTGGGTCGGGCATCATTTATAAAATGTACAAGCCAAATTAGCCTAAAAAATCGAGTTGGAAAAAATAAGCTCATGGAAAAATATATTAAAAAAACCCACACCAAAATTATTTTAAACATTTTTATACCCACTCCATTACTTACAAATAATCTTATTTTTCTGGCTCTGCTCTCTCCAGGGATGCAAAATTGCATCATGTTGTATTTTTTTTTCCTATTCTCAAAAGAAAAGAAGGAATTTTTGCTTTGAACTTAAAAGCTCTATTTTTGTTTTGAATACCCTTTTTGAGAACTGTATCAGTCCCCTAAAAGGCTGCATGAGTCTATTTTGCTTTTATGTGTGGTACAATACCAGTAATACAATCAAAACTTGAAGTTCTATATCCAGCAATGGTTTTTAACTACTTCTTTTAACAACTTTAACTAAATGTCTTTGTTCTGTGTTGGTATTTCTTTCTCAAAAGACTTTGAGCACATACTTTTTTTTTTTACTGTTGTCCATGAATAAATTACTTGCAGTTTTTCAGCCTTTTCAGTAAAAACATAGAATATAAATTATAAGTTAAAAAAGAAATAGCAGTAGTGGACCTGTCATTCTGAGAGATTGATCTAGAATTTCTGTGAGAATTTATTTTAGGAAATAATTCTGGATTTCTTTATTCGTTCTTTCTTTTATTTTTTTTTTTCTCTTTGTTCAGATGGAAGACGTCATAGCCCGCATGCAAGATGAGAAAAATGGGATTCCTATTCGTACTGTCAAAAGTTTTCTTTCCAAGATCCCCAGTGTCTTTTCTGGTAAGAGTCAAAGTGAATTTCATGCTATTTAAAGTTTCCACTCTACCTTATGTAAGGGGATGCTCAAATGGAAAACACTTTTAACTGAGTGCTATGGGGAATTCACAGTCATCTGGTCTGGAGGAGACATTGACTATCCTTTGAATACTTTAATTACAGAAATTTTTGATGTTTCTTGCACATTCGAGTGGGCTTACACAGAGATGTTCTTGTCCTGTAAATTAAGTGAAGGGACTACTTAATTTACTACAAAAAGTCAATTACCTGAAGATGGCAATGTTTTTATTGCAGAGCTTCTGCATTTCAGATCTAGTTTTTATCCTGTTTTCATGGCAAGTATGAGTTTAGTGTACAGGCCAGTACATGAAGATAAGAACTGCCATAGCAGCAGCACAAAAGGAAAATCATCACTGCACTCTGCAACTGATACAGAATTGTGGCTGTAGACATTTATTACAATGTTTATGATCTGCTTTTGTAGCTGGCTGCCTATGCCAAAGAAGCTAAGACTGAGATGTCTGTGGTGATTTGCAAGACAGCTGTAAACTTTATAGCTAATCCAAATCAGTATAGTCATATGCACAAAAATCTGTTAATTTCTTAATTAACTAGTATAATATGTTTATTCATTTATTTACATACTTTTATATCAATTTATGGGTTTATATATGTGGATATGTATCTTTTTGTGCTACCAATGCATATGGATTTCCTTTGAAATAGATGCCATTGTTGAACCTACTTTTTCCATACTCTGGTAACAGTTGCAATTTTTGTAAAGGCAAAGGTAATCCTTACATAGAAAGTATTTATAGACGTTTTTACTGTCCAGAACAGCAAGAAGAATTCTATACTTTAATTTTCAACCCTTGGTTTTCGTAGTGAACAATTCTGGCGCAAAGAAGGAAAGAGTCTTAAGAGTGAACAAAATATCTTTGTGATTTTAGAAACTGCTTGTACAAAAACTAGCCTCTGAAGAATGGACCTTTATTTCCCATGAGTTAGTAGAGCATGCCATCATGTTAAATGATCCATATTAATTGTTATTCTCTGCCTTACCTTGTGTGCTATGGATTTCAGATTAGACAGACTATGGTTATTTGTATAGCAGGAGACATTATTTACCAAAACTTTTTTTTTTTTACTGGAATAGACATTGTACTACTTAAGATTGTGTTAGAATATATATACAGTAGTACATAGCAGTCACTGTACAACAACTTTTATATTGAGGCATTAACTTTATCAGCTGCAGGGGGAAAGAAAATGCATAGCAGAGTTCATTTCTTTTGACCTTTGCAGATTTTCTCCCTCAAATACCAGGGCAGTAATTTTTGCTACACATGACTAAAAAAACCCACTAGAACAGCACAACTGTCATTTTAGTTCAATAAATCTACTTTTCTGTCAGCTCTCTGTGCTGAATGGAATCTGAACTCCTCAAAACTTCGTGTTGAGAGTAGTGGGTTTCCTTTAATGTGCTAGGAGTTTTTGTTTATGTAGCAAATGACTCTCAGCTTGAACTCATAACTATTGATTGCTAGGAAACATGGGAATATTGTTGTCTAAGGATCATGATGGTAATCATGAAAATGTATATAATAACACCTTGTAGTACTGTTATTGCCCACAAAAGCATCCATATGAAAATGTTCAAATCAAGAGCAGATGCTCTCCAGTTAAAAAGTACGTATATATGTCTATATGCTCATATATATATATCTATCTCTGTGTGTCTGTGCATAAAAGCATGTATTATACCCAGCCATCTGTCCAGGATTAAGTCCCATAAAAACTGGAACTTTGCAATTGTTTGTTTGTGAGGAGAAGCAAAAGGGGTAGGTCTACCACAGTTAAGTCAAGTTCCTGCAAGCACTTAGAAAAGACATGTAAGAGTCCTTTAAACAATTAGTAAAAATTAAGGATGTCCATAAGTTGCCTGTAGGAATAGGGTCTTCTGGGCTAGCATTTTAATTATGTTATTATAAAAACAAGAGAGGTATTTTTATTTTTGTTTACTTTTATTTCATAGTATTGCTTCTAAAAACAGCAAGTGAAAAACTAGTTGAAAGAGCAGTCACTTTTTCATAGTCATAGAATATCTCAAGTTGGAAGGGATTCATAAGGATCATTGAGTCCAACTCCCTGCTCCTTGCAGGACTACCTAAAACTAAACCACATGACCAAGAGTGTCATCCAGCTACTCCTTGAACTCTGACAGGCTTGGTGCTGTGACCACTTCCCTGGGGACTGTGTTCCAGTGACCGACCACCCTCTCAGTGAAGAACATTTTCCTGATGTCCAATCTGACCTTCCCCTGGCGCAGCTTCATTCCATTTTTTAATGTAGAATTACTGACCATATCTATTGAAGGATGACTGCATTAGCAAAATCAGGCTGGGGAATGGTATCTGAATTTAACCTTTTAATAGAATGTTGTGATTATAATAAATAGGATGATGTGATTATACTATGGTTTACTGAGTCATTCCTTAAACGTTTTTACAAGTAAAATATCCACACAGAGAAACATTTCAAAGACTGATAAATCTCTACAGGCTCTATATGTTGTTGTGCTTCAGAAAAATACAAAGAAAAATAATGCTAAGTTAAAGATTATTTCACCTTGTAAAATTTTGAAAAAAATGATGAATTATATTGCTTTATATTTCATATATTCAGAGAGCAAATAAGTTGCTTGATGTTGATATTTGTACAGTCTTTTTTGTGAGCAAGCTGCTTGAATTCAAACACACTATTTTTGTTCAATTTCTTTCTTGAAATCTTTCAAAAGTGAATCATTTATTTGTCTTTACCTGATTAAAATATGCTGTAAAATGACTTCGTAAGGTATTTGATGAAAAAGAATACAAACCTGTGGATGTGTGCTAATTATTATTCATATTTGTATCCACTTTTAGGAGTGTGTCAGATTAACTTTATGCAGCAGATTCATCTATGGTGTAAATTCACTAGAGATGGTGAATTGCAGACTAATTTGGTTAATAGTATTCCAGTCATCTACAAGCAGGAGGTGAAATGGATTGTGAAAAAAACCTCAGTCCTTGACTGAGCTCCAATATATCGTATATGCCAAGATAAAAATCCTTAGTGCTGAGAGATTTTTCCTAGCTGTTTAGCATTAATGATGTTAATGATGCTCATTTGAGTTATTTTGATAAAGGACTCTATATAAAATTATACCTCTTTTTATGCAAATAACTATGGTGAACAGCTTAGTATATTACAAAGTCTTTAACAGAAATGGTGGGGCTTATTATACATAGAAATAAATAATTACTGGAGAGGGAAAAATGCATCCTTGTCTAATTCCAAATGGGATTCAGCATAAAAGAATCAGTGGAAGTACAGCATTGGGAGCTCACTACTCTGACTTTTACTTGTACCGCTTGCAGACCTGCAACCTGTTGTGCTTATCAGTGAACATCTGTGGTGTATTTTACTATGTCATGACAAGTAAGAATAAATATCAAACACCTCAGAATTATTGTGTACTGTAGCTTGTTGGGTCTGATGAGCTAATGGTTTCATGCACTCAAAGCTTATTTTACATCAAGATCTACATCATTCACTGTTGCAGAACAGGTATTTACAGTCTCCATGCCCAAGTTTTTTTGTTGGTTTGGGGTTTCTTGGGGTTTGGTTTGGGTTTTTTTTTCTGGGGGTTTTTTTGAGTCAAATAACTGCTACACATGGCTTTTGCAGCATAATTCCATACTGACTCATCCTGACACTAGCTCACTGCCTTCTGGGACCATTGTAGCAGTATACTGTATGCCTATTATGATTTCAGCCAAAAATGTTTTTTGTAAAAAACCCTAGTCTTTACAGAGTCTCGCTGAATTAACTCATCCAGCTAGTGCTTGTCAGCGTAAGTACAATTAGGTCTTTGAACAGAGAGAACGTACAATATACTGTAGCAGATGGTCTTTGTAGTGATGGTTCACCTCAAGCTGAGTCATCCACAATCTTACTTGCAAGTAGACTCAGACTGAATGCAACAAATAGATGGATTTGCATAGATAGCTTTGCAGAAAACTAGTACGCTAATGGCTGAAACTGGATTTGCTAGATTATATTTTAGATCCTACACTGGTCACTGTTAATGGAAGTTCTGCTGGAAATTGTATTATCGCTTTAGTCTTGACTGCTTAAGCACGTAAGCAATGCTATGGTGTAAACCATCATTGTTTGAGTTGCCTGTGTTTGAGAATGGAATAATCTATTTTTATTATGAACAATACACTCTGCTTATGCCCATTCACATTATTATTATTTCTTGAGTGTGAAAATCACACCAGAAGTTGTGTTTTAAAAATTGCATTGTTCTAAACGTGTATCATCTAGCAGAGCCTGAACTATATCTGAACCGAACTGATTACAAGTCAGGTGAACTGGAAGTTCCTTGAAGGAGTGATTGAGTCAGTTTTCTCAGTAGCTTTAAGCATAATTACACATCTGGGCATCTAAAGCTGGGCTTGAAGATGACACTGAAGTAGTTTCCTATGTGGTTCTTGGGAAATTTGACTGTTTAATGCCAAAATTTTAGTTATCCCTGTCTATGGATCTAAGTCACTTTCTATGGTTAATGCTGATGACCACAGTCATGGGCACTCAGTTTTCAGAAGGCACATGTTTAAACCAGTGATTGATGGCTGACTAGACTGCAGTAATGCAGACCCCCCTCTATGACAAGAGGAGGGCTTGCTGTTGTCTCCATGGTTTTAAAATGTTTTGGAGGAATGAAGACAACAATTTATATAGACATCTTGCCAGTCAACAATAATAATTGCATGAAGATTGTCATGTGCCTTCTTTACTAACACTCATTAGAGTATTAGGAATAAAAAGAAGGCAATATGCCTGGAACATGGTTCACCATTAGGCCTGGAAATGGATAAAAAAAATTGCTTGAAATGATGAATGTAGGGAGTCTGACATATGAATCATAGGGATTAGAAGGAGGTCTAAAATATCAT